TGATGCCATTAGAAAAAATATAAACCATGGTTACGATAGATTCTCATTTCTTTTTTTTTATATATAATAATCCTCTCCTTTGTTCTCAACACTTGACACAATGATCTTTATATACTATATATATTTATATATGAAGTTGACCTATACAGCATGCCCTCTGTAGTAATTGGGACAGTGCAGTCAAAATTGTTATGTTTTTATATTCTCTTTGAATTAAAGATAAGTATATGATAATGAGGTACAGAATATCACACTTTACCATTTTTATGGTTATTTTTGGGCATAGGTTTTATTGGTTTTAAAATGATAATATTTTTGACGAGTCCCACATCTTAGGTGAACATATGGTTTGGTACAGTTTGTTGAAGTGTATTAATTCTGACATATTATCTAAAATGGAGCTGTTTCTCTTGTCTTTGGCTTCTCCTTCTGCCCTTTAATAGCCATAAATAAAGTTTTGAGATTTACTCATATTTCTATCTTTAACCCAAAAGTCTTGAGCATCTTCAGCAGAAATAGCAATTTTGACTTTGCTGTTCCACTGTTTTTGAGGGGTGCTGTAGTTTACCAGTATATTTTCAGTATAAATAATCAAACAGGTCTTCATAATCATGTTTGTTGAATATTAAAAAAAAACACATGCAATCATTTCTTTCTTCTTGGCCTTTTACGTCAGACAAAAACATTTGGACCGTGTGCTCTAATAGATCTTTTCAAGTAAATGAGTTCAACCAAAAATCTAATTTATATGTTTTTCCCTCTACTGCAGGTGTGGCCAAATAAACTTCACTCTTCAAAATTATGGTTCCTAATGTGTTCTTGGTTTGGACATTTGGTTTGAGGAAAAATCTTAAACTGGTTTAGAACCATTACCTTAGTGGTCACCAACCCTCCTCCTGGAGATCTATTTCCCTGCAGAGTTTAGTTCCAGCATGCAACTAACATCCAACCTCCTCCTTACCTAACACTAATGCATCTGATCCAGCCAATCAGAGGCTTCTGAAGAAGTTAAGTAGCTGGAACAGGTGTGGCAGATTGTGGTTGCAACCGCACTCTGCAGGAAAATAGATCTCCAGGACCAGGGTTGGTGACCACTGCTTTACTTTATGTGAGGGTTCTTTAAACATTAAAAAGGCTCTTCATACTTGTAGATCCCATTTACAATAAGGTCCTTTAACAATCATCAATTGAAAGGTTCATTAGGGGACCAAAAGTGGTTCTTCTACAGCAACTTTCTAAAGAAACTTTTTTAACATGTTTATTTTTTTGGCCTGTAGCTCACTCACTCACATTTAGCAGGCTGAACATTCCCCACAGGGGGGCACCATTAGTACTAAATAGCTTTTGGTGCTTCACACCAGTGACACTATGTGTCCTGTTTAAGAATCTAAGATGCAAATTGTGGTTTTGAACAAAGTAAAAGCCAATACTTCTCAAAATGCAAATAAAAGATGTATGTAAATAAAAGATCTTTCACCCAAATGTATTAAGAATGAAAGGTGGCCATAATGCTAACTGTATCCTAGAATTATCCATTATTCATTTCTTCAGTACACTTCAATACATCCTTTCTGACAAAGCCTAGAGTTTTTAAAATGCTATAAATATGAAGAATTTAGTTAAATAACGTAATAACTTGTTTCTTTGCTGAACATTTCTCAAAGTAGTCCTGTTGTTGACAAGCAATTTCATCATCGTAACTGAAGATAAATGGCTTTCACTTACTTTGCAACTCAAAATATGCATTAGTTTATTGGACACACCCATGACTTGAAAAAACATGTAAATTTGATTTTTGGATGAAGCATTAGTTTAAAACGCAAGGAGTTGTGCTAAGGTGTTCTTAACAAATTAACTTTCAATATATATGATCAACACACTACTCAAGGACAAAACTGCTAAACATCATCATTGGGCAAAAATGCAAACATAAATGTTTCCCTTTATAAACCTAAAAAGGTTTCTAAAACATACAGTGATTTATAATATGATAAACAATTGCTAAAGCATGACCAGAAACTCTTAAAAGAATACACTATAAATGGAAGTTCTCATTAAAACTTGAGGGAGCATTAATGACCATTACTGGTATATATGGAATGTTACACTGTTAAAAAAAATGACCAAAATACACTTGATGTCCTGTCACATTGTGACACAGTATGTACCAGCATGAGATATTTGTGAGATTGAAAAAGAAAGTTAACAAAGTAAAGGTCACAGTGTGTATATGATAAAACCAACATCATACAGCCTGTATAAGCTAGTCATATACAGTACTGTGCAAAATCTGAGACAACCCTTAATTTATTCATTTCCAGCCAAAACACTCATTAGGTACTAGGTAATCACGCTATTAATTTTTTGGCATCAGGAGAAAAAGCAGAAAACATGTACCCAGAAAAATTACACAGAGGCCTCGACAACTAAACATAATATCAAATTTTTCAGAAACTTTTTAAGTTTTAAAGAAATCTGCTGGATATTTTTCCACATTTCCAAAGTTCCATCTTAGAAGTTGGTTGCATTTTCTTCTTCTCAATATTTAAGTAATCCCAAACACATTCAATGATGCAGACGTCTGGACTCTGGGGTGGTCAGTCTATTGTTCCTAGAACTTCAGCAGCTTCTTTCATTTTCTTATTTTTAGTCTATTTTCTTTTCTCAGTAACTGCTCCTTGACAGCTACGCATTCTTTCAGACTCATTAGTGTTGAGTTGTCTTCTCACAGTGGAAGGAAGAACAGAAACACCTATGAATTTTTTCAAATCTGATGCAAGAGTGGAGCTTGATTTTCTCCTCTCTCTCAAAGATGGAATAACTGATTATCTGATCATGACAGTTTCAGTGGTCTTCCAGGTCTTGCACAGTTGTTAGGAGCCTCAGTTTCTCTTTATTGTTTAATAATTTTTTGAACCAGTTTTGTAAACTCCTGTTTTTTTTGCTTATTTTGGCTTTCTCCTTCCTTATGCAATCCTATCTTTATATCTAATCTCCTCAGAAATACATGCATATAGTATCTAAGCCGCTTATCCTTCTGGGTCGCAGGGGTTGCTGGAGCCTATCCCAGTGGTAACTGGGCGGAAGGCAGGAAACACCCTGGACAGGTCGCCAGTCCATTGCAGGGCAGACACAGACATATATCCTCAGAAATATCTCCTGAAAAATAAATAGCTTGTACCTAATGGTATTCTTGACTGGAAATGAAGTAAATAAAAGGTGGATTCTGACTTTTGCACTGTACTGTACTACAAGATTTTGAAAGAAAAGTACAGTCCTAGAATATTTAATGACAGAGATGTTCATTCATTCTACATATGCATTCACTAGACAGTTTAGCAAGGACAGATTTTTTTTGTGCATAACACAATTTCTTCAAAGTTTATTGATCATAATGAACTTGATCTATTTCATAAGTCTGTTGAACTGCTCACTGAGCATCCCACAACATAAGAGCATCAGTGGCAGCTGCATGCGCTGATTAAGCTAAAGATATGGATTCATTTCATACAGACCAAACCGTATCTCTGGGATGAGAAAATCATGACAAAAATCATGCAGTGCAAGGCTGGCAAAAACTACAGGATAAAAATAAATAAATAAACAAATCCTTTGTGAGAAGGTAACTACTGTGAAAGGCTGCATCTCTTGAGTAGTCGGGCACAGGCTTAATATGACTTTTAAGGCTCTACTGCAGTAACATGTCTGAATTTTACTAATAAACATAATTTACTGAAACTGTGATCCCTTTGTAAGATCTGAAGATTTAAAAAACAAATAATTTACGTCTCTCAATGAATCAGGGTAAAAATAACATAGAAAAACGCATATTCTTTCCCAAGTGTATTAAATAACATACCATATAGCTACTGAGACACACTTCAACCACATAACTTTAGAGACAAAACTATAGCAGCTGTTCATAACATGCCCATCATAATCATAACAATATATTTCATATATCTCCAAGTCTAGTAATTGATTACAAGGGCATTAGATTCATGACAAGCATACGAGATTCAGTTCACAGTGTTTCAAATGGAACAGCACAGGTATCATAGTTAATGTATGGCACAACTGATACCATACAACCAATATTTTTGACTTAAAATGGTCTTCAAGTTCATTATTGCTCAGGTTATTCTACCAAGCATACATAAAAGCACCAAGGACTGAATGTGGTGGATACCTACATTATATAAATATTTTTTTTCTTCTGCAGTTTTTGTCAGCCCCAGTTCTGGGAACACCAACGAGATCATAGGGAACCAGGACTGGTGTTGAAAACCACTGTTTACTTAAATGCAGTACGGCACTATATTTTACTTCTGAACAGATCAAAATGGTCCAGTCTTCTGTTTTTAATGATCAATTTCCCAGATTTTGATAAGCAAGAAAATCCAATGTTTTTGTTGACGGTCATTCCTTTTTGCATCATAATTTGTGCGACACTCATAAAGATCCATATTTCTACACAATATACTATATCATATAATATCATTTAATATAATATAATATATATATATACACAGTAAATACACATTACTTTTTTGTACTCAAACTATATTTTGAGGGAGGATGTTGATAATGCTTGCATAGAACAAAATATTCTTTGAATTAAATACATAATAGACGTTGCTGTTAAGCTATTAATTTGTCAAAATAAATATGATTATCTTTACATATTTTTATATTTGTTCTTTTGATATATGAATGAGAAAAGAAGGGAATATCAAGAAGGAGAGCAGTGCTGACAAAAACTGGACAAATACAATAAAAAAGCAAACATAACACAGATCAGAAAATAAACTTGTGGCTTCTCCTTATAACAACAAATAATACTGGCCTTAGAGACATGGATCTTTTTCAATAACAAAATACATAACTATAAACATTTATAATAAATATGCTTAATATATAGATATGAACTGTATAACAATATATATGTATATCTGTCTTTTTCTATACATATATACGTACATAAAAAAAGGTGCACTTGTTTAAATAATATCATCTAGAAGATGCGGGGTAGCTACCCAGTCCAAAGTCCGTGGCTCAGAAGCTGCCATTATCATGCACATGAACTGCTTGCCAGTTCTCTTGTCAATAGGATAAATAGTGGTAGGGGTGAACCTTCTGTTGCTCTCCACAAATTCACATAGTTTCTGGTACACTTGGGGGTACTCATGGCGAAGAAACACCCCACGAATCCTTAGCTCCCGTTGAATGTTGATGAAACAAATCTCCCTAGCTTTTCTCCCCTCCTCACCTTCCTTGTCGATGTCAGCTGTACCTGGTGGTGGAGTGAGGATTAGCGTCTCCATATCACTATCCTTCCTATGAACCTTCCTCTCTGGGCTGTAAGAAGCTAAAGCAACCTTGGCATACTTCCTGACGGTTGGGGCTTGGACCCTTGGTGATGGTCCGTCAGGCACTTGTTCACCAACAGCAATGGATACATTCAAGAGAAAACATTCATTGGGGTCGTATTCCTTACCCGCCTCCTGGAGCTCCTTACAGTACTCCCCAAGATTATCCCTGAAGCCCTCTAGTTCACGTAAGGACAGGTATGTTGGAGACATCAAGAGGCTTTCTAGACCAAATTGAAGGAAATTTGTTGAAGATCCTGGATTCGGAAATCCTAAAAATAGGACTCCTCTTCCTCGAGACAAGTATCCTACTTTGGCTATACGTGAGAAAGCTTTGTGAACCTCTGTAGTTTCCCGACAGTACTTAATGATGTGGCGACACACACTGCCAATACGCCCATAGAGACAGCTCTCCTTGTGAACGTCCCAGTCTTCTCGGCGGCAGTTGCGGGAGCAGTAGTATGTGTAGCAGCTGTGGCAGGATTTAAAGTAGAGGCAAGCGTTAAACAATGTTTCTGTACGACGACATTTATTGTTAGAACACATCATTGTGTCATCCTCATCTGGGCTCTGATCAGGGGAACACTCCTCAGTACTTCGAAGTCCATCACAACTCTCCGTGTCTCTTAAGGAGTCAGGATCTATTTTTATGGACGTGGGTTGTTTGTCAAGGGGCATACTGCTCTCGGATCCTGCCTTCGAATCTTTTCTTCCTGATGATACTGCCTCTTCTTCATCAATAAGCTTCTTGAGTTGATCCAGCAGATCTTCACTGGGCCTTCTGCTAGCTGGTGGTTTGTAATCAATGACCAGGTCAGCTAAAAGCTCATCAAGCTGTTCTAAGCTTTGTTGGAGTGAGGTGCTGTGGTGTGTCTTTTCTTTAGTGGATTCCATTGATAAGGACATTTTCTCACGATGAGCAGACTGTTCATCTGGAGCACTTTTAGAATCCAGAACATCCCAACTGGCAGAACGTGCTTCTGCTCTAGTACCCTTGCCAGGTTTAATATCATTGTCTGTGATCGTGATCTCAGGGGTAATAAACCATTGTTTGCTTGAGGTGCTCCTAGCATCAGTCGGGCTTTTGTCAATCAGGGAATTTTCAGACAAAGACAGAGCTGCATAGCGTCTAGGTGAACTCGAAAGGTTAACAACTACAGGTTTTGGCCTTTCATTTGTGGACAAAGTTTGTTTCCCCTGACAAAGGAGATTCTCATCGCTTTTCCCACGAGGCACAGGCTGTTCCCTCTCTACATGAGTGTTGAGGATGTTGTCCCAAGATCTAGAGTATGGTCTTGGGTCAGCTACTTGCCTTGTAGGCTCCATACATGGGTTGGTGTACCAAGGTGCAGGCATTGGCTCTTGTCTAACTCTTGTTGGTGTCACCTGGGAGGTGTAAGAAGAGGGATAGTGTGTGGAATAGCCAGACACATCTGAGCCATACCAGTCATCTGATTGTGGCTGAACCACACGAGCATGGCGCCTACCCTCTGTGTAATACGCCCGAGCTGGATGATGATGTTCCATTGGTGGCACATAGGGATCACCCATGTAGAAAATCCTTGGGGGGCCTGTTTGAATCTGATATGTCCTGGGGTCATCCCCATAGAACGTTCTCGCTGGAGGCGTCTGTATTATGTATGGTCCTGGTTCATTTGCACCATAGGATTTTGGATATACAGGTGCAGAATATTGATAGGGGTCAATTTCTGTAAAATATGGCCTGGCAGGTATAGAGTGAACCATGCGTGTCCTTGGATCTTGGACATAGTGTACTTTGGGAGAATAGGTTTGGCTCGGAATGCTGTAACGATCATCCTGATAGTAAGTTCTTGTAGGAGCTGAAGATCCATATTTCCCCATATCCTCTGCATAGAAGAATTTAGTTGGCACATTGGGGCTTGAGTGAGCCCTTCGTTCCCTTCCATAATGTTCCTTTGACTCCTGTTGAGAAGGCATCCTTTGAAGTGGGGTCTCCATTGGCAGCATGTAACTGTTTGGCATACTTTGGGAATACTGGTAAGTAGGCCTGTATTCACCTGTGAAGGATTCAGTGGGTGTTGGTGTTCTGGAGGTGGAATAGTGGCGAGGTACTGTAAGACTCCGACTGCCACTACTGGGATATTTCTGCCAGGGTATATCCACCCTTGGAGTTGATGATTTTTGCCCACGTTGCTGCAAAGCTGCTTCATCAGGCTTAATGTCCACTCTACATCGTACATGAGGACTAGTGGCAGGTTTATCCGGCCTTCCCTCTTCCAAGCCTTCAGGCACATAAACAGGAGAGTACCTGCTGGTATCAGTCCTCTGTGGCTGTAGTTTGATGGGATGTACCTCATGGATTAGTGCCCGAGTTGCTGCATAGGAGGATTCTCTTCTTGGAGACACCTCTGGCTTCCACTGAGGTTGCCTTGGAGACCTCTGAACTTCCCTACCCCTCCTTGTCACTGGAGGGGAACCATCAATCGTTACAGGAGTCAGATTGGTCTGGGCTCGTGGAGCACTTCTTGATCTGGTCCGCCTCTTATGTTCTGTCACAACAACCTCACCAGCCATTTCAGCAGTAAAAGGCTGAGGGGTCAGTCTAAAGTTATATAGGTCTGGGGAAGAAAAGCGATGAACTCCATGCCCTTGTTGTTGGGCTAAGGCATTCCAGGCAACTTCTGGGTTTGCCGCATATCTGTCAGCCCTTCTATATGGGTAGTCCATTTCGATTGTGTTATATTTGGGCTTGCCTGGAGACTTAGTATCAAATATGTGGCAGTGCCTTTTTTTGTCGTTCTGTTTGTACTCCAGTGTGCTAATGCATGTGGAATCACATTGTTTAGAGGAATATTCAGACTTGATGTGGTTAGAGAGGAAATTCACTTTAACAGCTTGATACACAGTAGATTCCAGTATGATGGGTGGATCTGTGCGTGTCATTGTAATGGAACTACTTTAGTTTCCTCCATAAAATCATTTTTAGGTTAGCATACCCTGTAAAAGAAAATGAAAGAAAACAGGATCAATTTTATGTTCTATTAGCTTGTATTTTTTAAAACTGTAAATAAATGTAACGTAAATGTTAATACATATATAGTATGTTATACTTGGCCTCACCAAGTTTACATATAAAATACCATCATCATAAGTAGAACCTAATCATAAGCTTTTAGAGGTGTATTCTAGGTCTGTAACTATCAATTAAATTAGAAATTGAGTAACCTGCCAATTATTTTGAGAGTTAATCGAGTAGTCAGGCATTGTTTTTAAAAGTCTAAACAATAAAAATGGACTTAACAATAATGTACCATTTCCTTAAGAAGACTCCAAAATACTTTACTGGTAAAAGACAAAGAAAAGCATTTTCTTCGTCTTAAGTTAAAGTTAAAAATTTGTGGCCGAAAAAAGAATGACAGAAAAAACAAGTGCAGGAGGGCTTTTCTAATTGTACTGTGCTTCTTAGGCAAATAACTATTTCAGATTTTACATTTTCATCAATTTAATGTAGGTTAAAACAATAAAACTGTCAGTTTTGTGCTGACTTAGACATAATACGGTAATAGTTAAGAAGTCCACAATGATTATTTGAATGTTCTATAAGAATAACAATAAGAAAAGCCCAAAATGTTTCATTTTACTGTGTAACTTGAATGAATTTTTTTTTTCTTATTATTATTACTGTCATAAATACTGTATATTAAGTACATAAAAGTGATGTGCTTTTAATTAAAACCTAATTGAAATACAAACTTCACTTATAAACAACCATTACGTGGTAAAAGTGTTGGTTATTCAAAAGACTTTACTGGTCTATTTTAATTATCAAATTTATCCGATTTTATTGAATATTCACTGCAGCCCTTTTCACAAAAGCTCTAAGACACAAGTTATAAACAGATTGAGAATGTTGGGAACAATGTTGACAATAGAATTAAGGGACAGCGTGCACCACACAAGCTAATTCGCCATTACTCGTACACCTTTGCTCTGATTTTCCCCATACTCTTCCTCAGAAGATAATTGCACTCACCCTGAGTGACACTCGCCCCAAGTATTTAATTATCACTGTGACTGTGAAGCTGCGGTTGTCACACTGTCACAAAGCTGTCGTAAGTTGGAGCCTGACCTTTTATGCAACATTGTAATGACCGATATAAAAAGAAACATATGAGTGATGCATGTATAAGGAAATAACTGCCTTAAGAGTGCTCCCTTGTAGAAAAGAGGAAGCCTCACAGATGGAGTCTCAGGGGTACACACAAAAAAACCCAAATATCTACTGGTTGATTAACTGGCATGGAAACCTATTCCACTAGTCTGTTCAATGTTCAGTGTTTAGAGTTCGCTTAGACTTTGCTTTTAACTGACTTGGACTTCAGACTAAAACCATTTTGCTCTCAGTGATCCTGTACCTTAAAAATGTTTACTTATTAAGACAAATGATTGAACATTCCATTTTGTCACTAACAAAACAATCATAACACTACTGAAAGTTTACTAAATGTTTCTGTAGTGTCTTTTCAGTAGTGTTCCACTTTTTTTGAGCATAATTTAAAAATTTTAGCCAGACTAGCAAACACAGCTTTGAACTGTACTCAGATGAAATCATATTTTCATTAAAACACAAAAAAAAATACTTAAGTTTTGAAGACGTGTTTCAGTAGTGACAGTTCTTAACATTACACACTGATTTTCAGACTTTGAGACACATTTACTTCAAAACAGTGGGATCTAACTGCTCACCATGTGGTCATGAGGGACAGGGATGCAGTCTCACTTCCTGCTCTAAAATACAGGGGTGTGGCTAAAATAAGGCTCCACCTATTGGCTACAGCTCTTTCAGTAGCTATATGAAAACCTTTTTTACTTGTGATAAGTCTAAATCTTTTAACTTCACTTAAAACAGATGAAAAAAAAAACAAATAAAACCAAGATTTAAAAAAGCAAAAACAGTAATATATTTTCATTTTATATTAGATCTATTCATTTTGACTGTATTTTGCCTTTTACTATGCTTATTAATGCATTTTCTTTAAACAGATCATAACAATATTTGATCTTTGTAAATAAATAGGTCTGAATATATATATTTTTTTAAATAGGCCCTTTTTCATCATTATTATAACTCATTCGCTCAGATTTCTTGACATTCTGTTACAGCATATGTGACATGCGACAGGATGCATGCATTTGGAAAAAATGCAGGTGGTTGCTACTGGATATAGTTACCCTAGCAACAGAATCTCACTATAATTACAAATCATATGGCAAAGCCCATGTGAAGTGTACCTGTGTTCCCCTGAGACTATGAAACAGAAAGGACTTTCCATTAGGTGAAACGTACTGATATAGCATTTCACACTGTAAACATTAGTTAAATGTATACAGTCTATATGCAAATTCTCCTTCTTTTCAGCCAGTTCATTTCTCCTGGGTGCTGCCTGAAACGTAATATGCAGCACAGTAATCAGTCTATGGCAGACCCTTTGAAGAGCTCTGGCTCATCTTGTCATTTTCAGAGGCTAAAGAATTCTAGGGATAAACAGCTTCAGACTAAAGCTCATAAATGATATTTTTGACAATCTGACACAAAATATTAAAGGATTAAAAAAAATACTTATGTACATGGAGACCAACTGGTTGTTTCTTAATCAGGATGCAGTTTGCGTTGTCTGTCAGATAAGGTCAATTATATAGCGATTTTACCACAAAAAACACTAAGGGATTTGGGTAACTAATGCAAGGGCAACTTGACATGTCAAAAATATATCCAGCAATCTTTTAAGACTTACTAGCATGTACTCACTATTTACATTCGTATTGTTTTTTTACCTTGTCTTGTTTTTAAAATGGTAGCAGAGGATATCTTTCTGTAGTATTAGTGCTTTTATTACAGGTTACATCATATTCCCCATTTTGTTATGAAATAACTCATGACTTGGGGGAGACCCCTCCTAATTCATGTCTAACTCAGGGGCATAGCAACATGGGGTCTGGTGGCAATGCCAATAAAAACGTTCTTATAATACAGGTTGAATGTAACATGCCGAATACTTGCATCATCAGACATTTATATTCACTTTAAATAAATAAAAAGTGATTGGCCAAAAATTTTCTTTGATCTTCACTCATTTTTGGCATGTGCCATCAGATAGAAATGTTCAACTTGTGTTGAGTTTAAATGTTTTTTTTTCGCTTGTTATGGTAGCAACAATGAAGTACGCTTGTTGATGGTTGTCAATCTCAATATAGCTTTCTGGCTATGCCAATGACCTAACTTGCTATAAATTTCCATCTCTACTTTCCCATTCCTGTGTTGCACTATTGCACTAGGCCAATACTGTCTGTGTTATGTACCATTATGCTTTGCTGCATTCAGCTCTTCCCTAAGACTTAACATCACATCTGCTGTCTGTATTTTCCTATGTGTCCTTCTGTCAGTCATTCTGCCCAACATCCAAATTGAAGTCTGTTTTTACCATTCATGCTACTTTGGCTGATGCTGCTACATCCAGATTCACCTGGCTGGTCAAATGGCCACCCCAACTCTATGGTCAGACTGTACTGAAGAACAGAAAGCTGTCCTTCGCCCAAAAGGAATCATTTTTACTCTACCTCAGTTCTTTCAGTGGTAAACAACACCTGTGTTCCAGACCGACACAGCGACCCCCACCACGTTTCTGTGCATCACCTTTAGTGTCTAGCCCTGTTCCCCACTTTCTCAACCTCCTGTATTTCTCATCCTTCTCCTCACTTCTCCTGTTCTTTCTCTTCTGACACTAGCCTTTTCATCTCATTTCCTGACCCCTCTCTCTTCATCCCACCCCTCTACCGTTTCATGCCACCCCTTCTCTATTCATTCTAGACCTTTCCACTTTTCTTCCAGTACTTTTGAGACCATCACTGAAACTGACACAGATGCAGAAGTAAACAGTGATAATGTGTGAATGAGCTTAATCTTTTTCAAACAGAAGAATATAATAAAGTGCAATTTGAGAAAAGTTGTGGTTGTAGTATGTTGTCTTACTTACTTTGGCCAGGAAACTGTAATTAATCTTGTTATAAAGGACAGAACTGGGAATGTCACACAAACTTCACTATCTGAGAGTTTGTAGCGAGCTTAGCCTGATGCCTTCTTCTCTGAAGCCGCATAGACTGAGGTTGTTTGAAATGGCCTGATGTATGAGAGCTGAGATGTGTTTTTCCTGAGATCTGAAGCTGTTTTGTCTGATGTCTGAGACCTGGCCATGTGGTCTAAGGATGTCCTAAAAATATAAACTGTACCATACAAACAGCTTTTTGTACAGGGATGATACCTGCTTGCAGCTTGCTATCACATCTAAAGCTTTTGCTATCACAGTCTATATCTTTTGCATTCAAATATACAACTTCTGCTTTCACAATTTACAGCTTTTACTATTAAATCTACAGCTTTTGCAGTGAATTCTACAGCTGTTGCAATGGATTCTACACTTTTGCTATAAATTCTATAGCTTTTGAAAGCAAACCTACTCTTTGGCTATGAAATCTATAGCTTTTGCAATTAATTCTACACTTTTGCTATGAATTCTATAGCTTTTGCAATGAATTCTACACTTTTGCTGTGAATTCTATAGATTTTGCAAACAAATCTAATCTTTTGCTATGAATTATATAGCTTTTGCAATCAAATCTACACTTTTGCAATGAATTCTATACTTTGGCAATGAATAGCTTTTGCAGTGAATAGCTTTCTACTCTTTTGCTATGAATTCCATTGCAATCAAATCTACAGCTTTTGCTATGCTACTGTTTCTTCTCACAACTCTATATGTCTATATATATAATCTATTCGTTATATGAAAACCAGTACACCTTAGCCCCAAAAAGATGTCAATTTGTTGTTTGCTGCTTTAAGTATAAACACAAATGCTGCTTTAAGTACAAACACAAGAGGAGGAGGAGGAGGAGGATGTTCTTTGTGAGCTGAGTCAGTGTTTCAAAAGCCATGTTTT